GGAAACTAAACCAGGCCAAGTTACACTTCAGATCTATGTCAAGGTATTTTTGAGCTATAAAATCACCTGTAATGGATTAAATATAAGGCGGAGCTGTTTAATGTCACACTGTAGAACAAGGACATCTCTAGCAATGTAAAATAGAAACATTTTTACAGAAATATTTTACCATAAAACCAATGTAAATGTTATTTTGGGGCGTCTGTAGCTCTGCGTATCATTTAAAAATAGGCTCTAATCCTGCTTTGTTCACATTACATAAGGTCTGGGGTCAGGGGGAGGTGGCGATGTCCAGCGATCGTCCCGTGGGGCTACTAACGCTGGAAATAGACCCCTTAAATAGTCATTACAGATTATGATTTTACTAGTACACTGTTACGCAAGTGTGTGTTTGTTTGTTTATTGTATTTCAAACCTGCATAAGACACTTATTTACATCTCATTTTACATCATAAACAGACTAAAAGCAGCATGGTGAAAGGTGAGAGCGGTAGAAGGTAATGAATTAAAAGTAGTAAAGTACAGTCAGCGGGTTCGTATTGAGAGAGTCGACCAAAATCTGTATCATTCTCAGTGGGAAGTTTACTTTTAAAATGTATTCCCCTACAGATTACAGATTACATACCCCAAAATGTAGTTTGTAACAGAATCCATTAAGTTATTTAAGGTGAGTGACATAATCTGAATACTTTGGATTACTTGATTTGTTGTAGAGAAGCAAAGACGAGGATATTGTAACATAAGATGTTTTGTCTGATAAAAGAAAATAAAAAGCCCAAACTTTACTTAACCGTATAAAAAAGTATTATTGATAGAAAAGGAGGAGACACGTCCAAGCAGCATGGTTTAGTCCTGTTAAATCCTGTTTTAGTCTTGGTTTAGTCCTGTTTGAGTCCTGGTTTAGATCTAGTTTAGACCTGATTTAGTCCTGTTTTAGACCAGGTTTAGACCTGGTTTAGATCTAGTTCAGACCTGGTTTATTTTCCGGCAATGAGTGGAATTACCAAAAAAAAAAAAAAAAGAAAAGAAAAGGGGGATATAGCCCAAAATGTGAAAACAGGAAAATACCGCCATGTAATCCATTTATTTCAACAAAGTAACTGTAATCCAATTACCACTCACTGAAACAGTAACTGTAACTGAATACAGTTACTCATAATTTGTACTCTGATTACGTAACTCGGGTACATGTAATCTGTTACTCCCCAACACTGATCATTTTTAATTACTATCACTACATTTATCACTTTATCAAAATCTGTGTGTAATACTGTTACTTTTTACAATTTAAATACATTTTTAAACAGGTACTTTAATACTTTTACTTAAGATTTTTTTTTTTTTTTCATGTGATACTTTTACTTTTGCTTGAATAACTTTTTATTTTTGTATCTGTACTTTTACTTAAGTAACAACACTGAGTACTTCTGTTACGGCCTCAGACCTTTAGTTCTAATTTGTTTTGTTTGTTCTAAATGATTTTGCTGAGCTCCTGATTCCTGCTGCGGGAGCCCTGGTTTGTGATTGGTGGGGCATGTTTACACCCACCTCACCTGCAGCCACCGCCCCCTGTTTAAGGAGATGACCTGCACCTGATCGGGGCTGGTGGCCTCGGTGGCCAGTCTGCCATATTGTGTTCCTGTGTGTAGTTTAGTTTAGTTCTGTTTTGTGCCTTTTTTAATGTGGTCACTCAATTCTGTTTGTGGGCTTATGTGGTTTAATTTGAGGAACTTGTGTTTTAGTTCGTTTGTGTCCCTTAGTTTTACCACTCGTTATTGTGTAAACCTGCATGACCCCTTTTGTGGCACAAAACTCGCTGTCTGTTGTTTTGTCTCTTAGTTTAGGTTATTTTCTGTATATTTTAGTCTGTCTTGTTAATTTACCTTTACATTCCTGTTAATTAAACATTATTTAATTTATTCCATTTTACATCTTGGTTTTATTTTTGTTACTTCCCTGTCCCTAGCAGAACTGGTTCGTAACAAATTGGGATTCTGGGATTCCCAGGCGATCTCCCATCCAAGTACTAACCAGGCCCTCACTTGCTTGGCTTCCGAGATCAGACGAGATCGGACATTCTCAAGTTGGTTTGGCAATAAGCTATAGGCAAGTGTCATTGCTGACAAAAGTGCGCGTTGCATGCTGGGAATTATTTTGGTCGGCGGCAAGAAACACTAATTCAACATGACGGACGGAGCGAGAAAGCACGTAAAGGGCATTGATCCTGGTTATTTATCCACTCTGACGGCAGAGGACCCAAGACCATTTGACCAGAAATTGGTCATAAGCATCGATGGAGCCAAATCACCCTGTTCAACCCCGACAGAGCCTGGACCAAACCAAAGTTCTGGTCAGAATGGCCAACTACCTGGACAAATATTCACTTGGGCGTGAATGACTTGGTGGAAACTCCTGGGCCATTCACAGCAGAAAAGATGAAAACCTCCAAGAGTCTCGATGTGTTGTTGAACTTGTTGGAGTCCACGGTTTGCTAGGATCTTCTACGTTTGCTCTGCGGATGTTTGAAAGTCGTTTAATTCACCGTTAGTGGTTCTTTTCACTCGGAATACGAAGAAGACATTTTCCTTCTTCCGTGCTTCTATTTGTGCATCCGATAATGCAGCAGGAATTTACCATTATTGTCGATAAATACGAGAGGTTATGCACTGTGTTTGTCCGCTATCGTGTTTCTTGCCTCCAACCAAAATATTTCCCAGCATGCAACGCGGGCTTTTAATAACAATGACGTCAGCTGAAACTCGCCTATAGATTTTTGGACTTGGCAAGAGACAGGTGTCAATAAGGCATAATTACATAAATGTAGATGTACAAGTCAAAATAAAATGGAAAATAAAATCCACCAGTTGAAACCTAACCCTCCACTCAAGTGAACAGCTGTCAGCTTTATATGAACTGAAAAGCCTTGTCACTCAGATGTAGCTGCTACATGTCATCATAGGTTTACATGTTTGATATGATCTTACAGTGTTGGGAAGTAACAGAATACATGTACAGAGAATACATATTTTTAGTACTAATTCCGAGTCATTATATTCTGGCACAGTTACTTTTCCATTTGACGTTATTCAGAATAGAGTTACTTTTCTAAATTCAAAGGAAAACATTATAGTATCTGATCAGTGTGGAAAAAATCAACACAGCTCTTGTGGTGAGTCCATGTGTGATTTTCCCTTCTCCAGTAGTGACAGGAAATGCTTAACGAACAAAAACATAAAGCTGTTTTTAATCTTTTATTACATTTTTACACTATAATTTAAATGCAACTCGAGGTAAAAGTATTGTCACTATTCAGAATACAGTAATGAGATTGGACCATGTATGGGAATATGTTACAAAATACATTCAGTATTCTGTAACTATATACATTAGACTAGAAGTATTCTTCAGAGTACAGAAGCAGAGAAATCACATTAAAAACATATGACGGAATTACAAGACTCTCATTAGACCTATTAACTTCATGTAATGGAAAAGCTGCAACCATAAAAACCTAAAAATGTTTGTATTTATTTATTTTTACATGTTTTCCTCTTTATTGGTTATGTAAAATGTAAAGGGTTTTGGCAGAAGCAGAGAAATTCTATTCCAAATTTATGACGAAATTACGATTCCTTCTTCAGTCCTGTTAAATTTTTGTAACGTCAAAGCTACAACCATAAAAACTCTGAGGAAAAACATTTGTATTTATTTATTTTTACATGTTTTCCTATTTCTTTGGTTATGTAAATTTAAAGGTTTTTGGATAATTTAGGACAGGACACGCCCCCTTTCGACTGACACACCACCGGAAGTGTAAAGCTGCCTGTTGTGCGTTTAGTTGTCGACCAAAATAAACTCTGCTGACCCTTTTAAACTTTAAAGGTGCATTGTGCAACTTCTGCTGGGTGATTACTTCCATGGAGATGTTATACTTTACCTGAAATGCTCCACAGTGCGGCATTAAATGTGTCCTTCTTGTATTTATTTCATTTCACGTGTGTTTTCGATCATTGCTCAAAAGTACCTTGAAAAACCTACGTTCTTACTACGAGTGATGAGTTAATTGACCTATTGATCTGTCACCACCTGCTTTTTCAGGTATATTAATGCTCTACTGTGGAATATTTAAGACAATCTTCATGGAAACAAGCAGCTGGTGGACCCTGGTGAAAAGTTACGCAGTGCACCTTTATGTCTTCTTAAAAATTGATTTATCTTGTGCACTCTGCTTTAAATTTGTATTGAAATGTTTACTCCTGGCATTGCTCGATATTGATTTATATTGACGGATATTGCTACATAAACTCATACATTTAAAAAAACCAAAAAAACTTATAACATAAAAATTTACTCTGTAAGTCAGGCTATTAAATTGTATGAAGCTGCTGCTGTGGCCTGTTGCACCACAACTATTTTAAAAGTAATTAATATTACATTTCCACTACTACACTACTTTACTTTATGTTATGTTATTTTACTTTACGTTATGTTATTTTACCTTGTTTTATGTTGATTTACTTTATTTTACTTTACTTTATTTTATTTTACTTTATTTTATGTTACTTTACTTTATTTTATTTTACTTTATTTTATTTTTTACTTTATTTTTTATTTACTTTTTATTTTATTTTACTTTTTTACTTTATTTAATTTTATTTTACTTTATTTTACTTTTTTTTTTTTTACTTTATTTTGCTTTACTTTTCTTTTTTTCTTTCTTTATTTTTTATTTAATTTATTTATTTTTATTATGAATTCTTTTTTTTTTTTTTTTTTTCAAACACATCACATTACGTCGTCCACGTGCCCCAAAGCACATTTATAAATTAGCCCACTCTGCCTCATTACCAACAGTAAATACAGTAATAATAATAGTTCCATTTTCGTGTAAAATAATTATAATAATACTCCACGGTTTTACAGATGCTTTTATTTTGTAGTCCCGTGCCGGCTGCTCTCGGTGTTTCCGGTTGACGCGCGGCGGCTTGACGCGTGAGTGCGGGTGTACGACGCGCGCGGGGCCGTGTGGCTGTCAGATCAGATGAGCGCGTGTGCGGAGGCCGACCTGTGCCCAGCGAGGAGACACTCTGTCCGGGGACGAAGTGACGCGACACCCCGGGAGCCCGTATCCATCTGCAGCGGGACGTGTCAGAGCTTTAACCCCGGGGAGAGAGCGCGCCTGGAGCAGCTCCGGAGCGGCTCCGGACCAGCGGCATGTAGCGTGACTGGTGCGTATGTTCCGAAGATTTTAACAAGATGCACGGAAGACAATGTTCCAAGTTGGATTATTTGTGCACGTAAACAAACTGCGTAAGATTTTAGATGTCACGATTAAACTAAAGTCATTTATCTTATCTTTGTCATACGGATACTGACATAAAAATAATAGAATATCCAAAATAAATCCTGCTCTAATGATTATAGATTAATATAATTTTCTACAGAGCTGGACTAGACACTGTCACGTTATTACCTAAATGTTTACTATGTTAATTTTTTTGTAATAATTCCATTTATTTGACCATGCTGATTCTAGAAGTTCAATAAAAGTTTATTTAAATAGCACATTTAAGCCCAAAGTGCCTCACATAAAAGTCAACAAATACACAGATAACACAATACAAATGCTGCATGAAAACTGCAATAAAACGCCGTGATAACCTGATTAGCTCGTATTAAGTGTCAGGGAGACGAGGTGAGTTATCAGTCTAATCTTGAACTTTGTTAGATTGAAAATATCTGACAGGAAGAAGTAGAGGTACAAATATGTTGTTGTTGTTAGAGGTAATTGTCAAAATACTAGGACTGTATTAATTATTCTTCATCTTAAACGTTATTTTTTATATTTTTATTTCTGCGTTCACGACATCTGTTATCTAACGTTACATTTATTAGGAAATAAAATCATCGACCATAACAAAAATTCAGAATCAGAATAAGATTTTTGTCACTTGCTCCGCTGATATGGAGCAACATTAAGCAAAGAATAATAATTTAGGCTAAACTGTGATAAAATAATAAATAAGGGCATGCATTAAAATGTAAAAATAGACTTTGATATGCATTTCATACTTCTGTTGTTTATGGTGGTGTCTTTTTATTTTTGATTTGTAACATCACAGTACTTAAAAGCCTGATTCATCAGACGGTTTCACTTTGTGGAAACCGTCTGACCTCGCAGCATTAGGATTTGTTCGCTTGATGGTAGGCGGGTACTTTTTTATTTAACCAATCGCTGCTATTTGGTCGTGACGTGTGTAATGCACCGCTAACGGGGATAACTGGTATATTAAGCTTTTCCCAAATCCCGCAGGAAGAAGGGCAATAACGTCTTTCCCCTTGATGAAATTCACCAAACATTCTCTTTGTTCTGGCTTTAAATCCTCGATCTCGTGAATCGTTGCCAACACAGAATGTATGACTCTTCACTTATTGGCTGGTGCCCAAACTCACACGTCCGGGTTTTTGCAAACCATCTAGTGTATTCTGATTCCTGAACTAGTCGCTGGAGAGAAATGAAATTGAGCGGAGGCACTAGGTCCCTTTTGGGTCTCTTTTGTGGTACAACACAATAGTAAACAAAGCTGTCGAGATGGATGTAGATGAAGACATACATTCTGTTTTGGCAACGATTCCCGAGATCGAGGATTTAAAGCCAGAATAAAGAGAATGTTTGGTGAATTTTATCAAGGGGAAAGACGTTATTGCCCTTCTTCTTACGGGATTTGGGGCATTACATACATCACGATCAAATAGCAGCGATTGGTTAAATAAAAAAGTACTCGCCTACTGTCGAGCGAACGAATTCTAATGCTGCCAGGTCAGATGGTTTCCACAAAGTGAATTCAGGCTAGTTAATGGTGGTATCTTTTTAATTTTTTATGTATTTTATTGTATTATCTCAGTACTTAAAAGATGCATTGTGTAACTTTTCTGGTGGAGGGTCCATCAAAAGCTTTTCTTCATGGAAATGAAAATGCTTTGTCCGGAAAGTTTCACAGGATTAAACTTAAGTATGGCATTAAACCTTTCTATCTTCATGGAGACCAAACCAGACCAAGTTACAGGTCAGATCTGAGGAGAGGCGACCCCACTCACAGTCAGAATGGGTTTTGGGGGGTATTTTTGAGCTTTAAAACCACCTCTAATTGAAAAAAAAAAGAAGTAAAGTAGATCTGTTTAATGTCATACTTTGAAATATTCCAGGCAAAGCAATGACAAATCCATAGAAACAAGCAGGCGATGGACCCTAGAAGAAAACCTAATGTCTCTCCCACTCTGTATCTCTTTATGTTTCTTTCTTTCTTTTGCAGCTTGCTTCCTATAACCACCAGCTCTTCCTCCTCCTCCTCCTCTTGCACCATAGTTTCCTCCTGACACTTCTTACGCCATGGGTGGGAGTCTGGGCTGCCACCGCTCCATCCCCAGGGACCCCACGGACTTCAGCTCGGGCAAACGCAAATACAGCGCCGCCTGCAACTTCAGCAACATCATGGTGAACCAGGAACGCCTCAACATCAACACAGCCACCGAGGAGGAGCTTATGACTTTACCCGGAGTCAACCGCATCGTGGCGCAAAATATCGTAGAGTACCGGGACTGTATAGGCGGGTTTAAGAAGGTGGAAGACTTGGCTTTGGTCAGCGGGGTCGGCGCTACCAAACTCGAAGCTATAAAACTGGAAATTTGCGTTTCTAGCCGGACAAGTTCTTCGCAACATTCGCCGTCTTCGATTCGGAAAGATTTTGACTGTCAATCGTCTAACGGGATCAATATTAACACAGCTACGCCAGCGCAGCTTATGAGTATCAAAGGTATCACGGAGAAAATCGCGAAGAACATTGTCGCTTTCCGAACGGAGAACGGACCTTTCAGAACGATTGAAGATCTCGTGAGGGTGAACCACATCAACAGCTCGCTACTGGATAAAATTCGTTTTCAGATTTACGTCCAGCGATCCAGAGCGGCGTCCACGAACACGAACGGCGGGCTCACGTTCACCACCAAGTCTCAGCCCAGTCCGACCTCTTTCAGCCTGAAGAGCGACGATCTGGACCTGCCGCCGGGGGGCCCCACGCAGATCCCGTCGTTCAGGCCCAAAGTGGAGCCTCCGTCCGGGGTGAGGGAGGGGAAGCCCGTGGTGCGTCTGGCCACGTGGAGTCTCCAGGGCTGCTCCAACGACAAAGCCAACAACCCCGGGGTCAGGGAGGTGGTGTGTATGACCCTGCTGGAGAACGGGTGAGTACAAAGGGGCGTAAAGGGGGGGAAAGTCAAGTTGTTCGTCGATTTGAAGTCCTAAACAGTGTTGAGAGTGTTATAAAAGTAACAAATTACTGTAATGCGTTGCTTTTTGCTGTAACGCAGTAATATAAGGCATTACAGGGAAGAAATTTTAATATTTTACTCAGTACAAATGTGAGTAAAGCGGGTTACAATGCTTTTTTAACCTGGATTGAAGTGGTGGGTTTTTCGGTTTCTTCATACAAATTCGCTAAAATCACCGCGATATCAGCAGCGGTGAAATGCCGGAGGTGCACCCGTGTAGACTGTCAGGTGACCGGCGCAAAACTCCGCTCCGACCTGGTTCAGTCCTAGTTCAGCTCTGGTTTAGTCCTAGTTTAGTCCTGGATCAGTCCGGGTTCAGCTCTGGTTCAGTTTTGGTTTAGTCCTGATTTAGTCCTAGTTCAGTGCTAGTTTAGTCCTGGTTTAATTCCTGATTTAATTCTGGTTTAGACCTGGTTTAATCCTGGTTCAGTTCTGGTTCGGTTCTGGGTCAGTCCAGGTTCAGCTTTGGTTCAGTTTTGGTTTAGTCCTGGTTTAGTCCTGGTTTAATCCTGGTTCAGTTCTGGTTCAGTTCTGGTTCAGTCCTGGTTTAGTCCTGGTTTAGTCCTGGTTTAGTCCTAGTTAAAAAAGTAAACTCTTGAGCCTCAAAACCATATCGACTTGGATATCGTTACACCAGCTGAAATGAATCATGGGATATGTAGTTCCCGATGTTTATTAGCCGTTCCTACTATAAAACAATGTATTTATGCAAAGGAACTTATAATTTGATATATTGTGACAGTCCACGATATTATTGTGAGACTTTTGACGATACGATATCACGATATTTTGGTTATTGTTACATCACTATTGTGGAACTTTCCAGACACAACAACAACATATCCATAGAAACAAGCAGGTGACGGACCCCCAACCAAAAAGTTCACAAATATTTCCTTAGAGAGCATCAACTCCAGCACAGTCTTTGTTTAACTTTTCATATCAAGTGGAAAACTTCTTGAAACTTTAGTCGATCACACTGACTCTTGATTCTTGGACAAGCCTTTTTTAGTAACTAGGACAAACTCTCTGGCTTTAAAGGGCCCATATTACGCTATTTTCTGATCTATGTTATAATGTTGGTTTGTCATTGTTGTTTCGTGTTGTGTTTTGTTTTTCAATCGCACAAATATTTAAGCTGAGTTCTTCTTCCAGACTAAAAACAGACCATTTTGATCTGCAGAGATGTCAACAGACTAATAATAAAGCATTACTCAAACATGTAAACGAAACAAAACACAACTCCAGGTCTGTTTTTTATGAGGTAACAACATTATAACACGGTTTAAAGCTCACAAGAGTTCATTTTGTGTAATACAGGACCTTTAACCTTACACAATATGAAGAAAAAAACAGAAAAACAAGCGTACAGCACTGTAGTCTTCTGTTCTGAGTTCCCCTTTAGCACAGAAAACCAAACATCCATAAATAACAATGAAATAAGTTACTGTGAAGGAGGTTAATCTGTAATAACATCACACGCTTCTGTCTGTAAATGAGTCTAAGATTAATTCAATATCTTTATTTGAACAGAAGCACAGTGCAGTTCTTGAGGAGTCTGAGACGATGAGATGAGCTGGAGAACAAAGACTCGTGTTGTTCACCGCAAAAAGCAAAATTTACGCAAGTTAAAAGTGCATTGTGTATCTTTTTCTGGTGGAGGGTCCATGAAATGTTTTTTTCCATGGCGATGTTATTGGTTTATCTGGAATGTTTCACAGTTTGGTACTAAACCTTCTATCTTCATGGAGACCAAACCAGATCAAGCTACAGGTCAGATCTGTGGAGAGGCGACCCCGCACAGTCAGAACGCCTGTTTTTCTAGGTATTTTTGAGCTATAAATCCATCTGAAATTCTGTAAATGTGAGGTAGAGCTGTTTAAAGCCGTACTGTGGAATAGGGACGTAGCAATATCCAAATCTCACGGTACGATATTTATTGCGATATTTTGAAAACTTGAGCAGAGGCACTAGGTGGCGCCAGACTGGCTAACACTGAAGAGCACCAAAAGGACAATAGGAGGGTTTCAGTCATGTGATCACGATGATGCGCAAATTTCAGGTGGAGGGCAGGAAGTGAAGACAAACACGACAAACACGGCTCTGGAGAACATAGATATGGAAAAGAGTTCTTATTGTAAGGATTTAGAGCCAGTAGCAAAGCAAAAGTACGAGCAGTTAGTCGACAAATATATTGGACGTGACCCCATCTTATTGAAAATGAGAGAATTTTCAACCGAAGTAAAAGATTTGCCGACAGTCGAGGCAGAGTATATCACGAACTATTTAGCTCTTCAGACATCGTTCTACACCAGACAACAGATGAAGGCGAACAAAAGTTTGGAGGCTTATAACTTTTTTTGTCAGTGGATGGATCGTCAACCTTGGTGCAAAACGACTAAATGATGATTATGGTTTGGTCTTCGCCGGGGTGAGTGTTTCTCTTATTTTATGTGTATAGAGTTATGGGAAAAACTGCAGTGTATCGGCAGTGACCTCTATCTGAACTATTTAATGTCAACAAACGTCGTTAGCTGTTAGTCGTTAATGATTCGTTTATGTTTAGGTAAACCACAAAAAAAAAGTATCTTTGTAACAAACCTTTGACGACGTGGTCACTGCAGACACAAGCATTAAAGAATTCTGCTCCTCCCGACCGCAAACAGGTTTGTAATCCACTTTTTACGGCGTTGTTCTGTCGGCTTTTCCCATTTCTGACCTTTGTGGACGACTATATTCGGTACTCTAAAAAAATCGCTTTTCCTTCTCTCGGTTAGAACGATTGGCACAGCCGTAAACTACACAACACGATCACAATACACAATCGGCATTTTCCTCCAGTCAGTTCACTTCCTGCCCTCCATCTGATTTTGCGCGCTGACAAACGTAGCCCTGTGACGTCACGTGAAACCCACCTATTCTGCACAATCTCTGTTATATACAAGTAACACTCCTGCACTCTAAAGTTTTGCAGCTCTACGTTACATTAATTCAATCACAGGTGGTTTTATAGCTCAAAAATCCGTAGAAAAACAGACATTCTGACTGTGAGCGGGGTCGCCTCTACACAGATCTGACCTGTAACTTGGTCTGGATTGGTCTCCATGAAGATAGAAAGGTTTAATACCAGACAAAGCAATAACATCTCCGCTGTAGAAAAGCATTTGACGGAGCACCTTTAAGTGTAGCAAGACGTATTTTCATATTATAACTACAAACAGTCTTATTCCGGTGGTAGATAATTTTACTTAAGGTTACATCAGATAAGAAAGTTAACTCGGCTCGATGTGAGTTTTTACAGCGTTGCCCTTAAGACAACAGACTTCTATTTCTGACATAATATTGACTTAGATCAGATGACGACCTGCGTGTTCGTCCTGTCCCAGTTCAGTTCAGGATAGGTGGTTCTCACATGGGCGAGTCCCTTTTGGCACGAGAGGATGTCGGCGAGAGCGGCCATGTTTGTGTGCTGGTTGTGGATTGTTTCGGCTCATGTTTTACCAGGGCGTGTTTAAAGGGCGTAGGGAGCATTACAAGGGCACTAAAGGGCATTAAAGGGCACTATGGGGCATGGACTGGTCTCATAGAAACAAAAGTGTGGTTCAGTCCTCAATAAGTCCAGACTTAGCTTTGATTTCATTCTGGTTTTGGTGAGTTTTTACGAGTAAATTAAAGCATGTAATTGAAATTGAGTCAAAACGTAGATTAAAATAGGCTACAGCAATAAAATCTATATTACAGTATTTCTTATTCTGTAAAGCACTTTGAATTACTTTGTGTACGAATTGTGCTATACAAATAAACTTGCCTTGCCTTGCCTATTACAGTTCTACACTTTTTTCACACTTATCCTGGTTTCAGCTTTTTGGAAATGTATAAAATGTTTAGTCTTTATTAGGTAAAAAAAAAAGATATGTGTAGGTTTAGGAAGCGTTACAAGGAGGTGTTAAAGGCATGTAACACAGCAAAAGTAGTAAAAAGTCGTGTACTACATTTGTGAATATTTATCTAGACTTTCTACTCTACTACATTTTTGAACAGGACTGAAAAATAAAAGTGTGTTTTGTTTTACGGTGTGCAAAAATGTAGAAATATCAATATATCGTATCGTTTAATGTGATGATACAGTATCGATATCATGGGCTGCTGTATCGATATATCACCAAGAGTATTTTTTGGTATATTTTGCTACATTATTTTGTTACAGCGCTACAGTTTTGATGTTTGTTTAGAGTAGACATGTCAAACTCAGGCCTGGGGACCAAATTTGGGTCACGATATAATTATATTTGGCCCGCGAGATCATGTCAAATCTATATTAGAGCTGCCCACCGGCTACAAATAGACTATAAAGACATTATTTATTTAAAATTTTGTTATTATTTTATACTTATGCTTGTTCTGGATTCAATGTTTAAGCAAAACTATTATTAAACATTTATTTTAATAAGAAAAGATTTAACATTACATATCTCGAAAGAAGAGAAAACATGCAGATGTTGTTGAAATTTTTCAATAAATATTTAGTTTGGTCCACGGCTTAGTCCCAGTTTTTAATTTTGGCCTCTGTGATTTTGAGTTTGACAGTCCTGGTTTAGAGGAAGGAAACTCGTTTATGCGACACATTTGACATTTTCAGTTTTGATGATTAAAATGTTTGTGTTTTCAGGTGAACTTTGCACAAGAAGTGGTTTAACAACGACTTTTAGTTTCACAGCCATGATTTAGCCTTGATTTTTTAGTGAACCGTATCAAATTGTTTTGAAATATATCGTATTGAATCAAAAGTGCACTGTATCGAGGTGTGTATCGTATCGGCAACTTCTTAATGATATCCAGCCCTAGTTTTGTTATAGTTTGATACCTGCTGAAAAGACTAGGGTTGGGTATCACTAAGAAGTTGCTGATACTAT